CTGTCGAAAGGCCGCGGAAAGGCCACCAAGCGGACGTCGGGCGCGAGGCCCTCGTAGCGGCGATACCGACCGAAGAGGTTCAGCAGCGAGACGTGGTACTTTTCCTCGCCCTCGCAGCGGACATAGAGCAAGTCACTACCCGTCGCGGCCGGCGTCCGACACGGAGCGTGACGCCATCGCGCCTTCCACGCGCCGGCGCGGTTCTCTTACGCCACGGCACCGCGTCCGGACGGAGTCTTGATAGCGCGCACCATCGGAATGGCCGCGAACCTCACCGCGTCCAGCAAGTTCCGCTGAACATACTTCTCGACCGTAAGCGGAGGCTTGCGGCCCGCGACGCGTCGGCGTGCGCGCCGGCGGCGGTGGTCCATCGAGGACCCGGGCCACAGCGACCGTACGGAGCCGACGCCGCTGCGCAGCCAGGCCGCGGTACTCGGGGCGGTGAATACCCGCCCCAGCGACGTTGTCGCCCCCCGTCCGGCCGGTGCAAGCGTTACGCTACTCGACGGCGCCGGCGCCGCGTACGGCGCCTCGGAAGCGGCCCCTGTGAGCGCCGTGCCCGCAGCGAGCAGCGGCGACATGGGAGGCGGCGGCAGCTCCACGGGGAGCCCCGGGTCCGCCACGACCGTTCTTGGAGCCACGCTCGCGAGGGGCAGCGGCGAGGACTGTGTTGCTTGGGCGCCCAGCGGTGGCGAACCGACCGGTACGGGCGAATCAATTGGCGCTTGCGCGGGCCCCGCCACGCCAGTGGACAGTTGCAGGCCGTCGCGAAGGCGTCGCCGCGGTTGGAAGGTGGGACCGACCGGCGCCGCTGCCGGAGCCCGAGGCGGGCTCAACGGCTGTCTGTACGCGCGCACAGTAGAAGTGTCGCGATGACCGTCCATGGGTTGGTTGAAGAGCCGCTGTAGGGGGATGTCGTCGTTGCTGTCGGAGGAGGTTTCTGAGTTCGCAGGGGAGTGTTGGGGAAGAATTGGGGGGTCAGTGTGGATCGCGTGGGGAGAATCGGAAGACGCGCTCTCCGAATCGGATGAACCCGCGGCGTTATATATCGCCAGCTCGCTGACGAGCCAGGGGCCATGATCGTCCGCACGGAGGGGCTTCTGTTCCCGCATCGTGCGCGATAGAAGGAAACGTCCGGAACGGACCCGCGCGGTCGAGTAGAGAGTCGCTACGGGGACGTAGCGAAAGCTAAGGGGAGAGGTCTGTAGTATAATGACCGGCGCGAGCGCGCGGAGGTCATCGGACGGCCGTGTACGGTATACACGTGGGCGGTTGTGCCCACGTGTAGCGAGCGCGCGCGCATGCCGAGCGGTCGTAATCTGGCGTACGTGTACAGTAGTGCACGTGTCGTCCGAGCGGTAGTCTACGCGTGTTACGTGTGCGCGTTAGCACACGTGTCGTCCGTGCGGTAGTCTGTAAGCAACACGCGTGTACAGTAGTGCACACGAGTAGTAGCAGCGTCCGTGCGGTAATAGCAATTATGGCGCTACCTTTTTAATTGTGTACAGTACCTGGCACGCACTAGGTGGCAGGACCTGTACTACTGTACTGGGACAGATGTCCGAGGCGTCCCTCTGCGGGGTTAAGACCTGGCACCCGTCCCCACCAGTAAACGGGGGCAAGCTCGCCCCCGTCCCTTTCGCGCCTATATACGTCCGTTTCGGTTGTCTATCGCGCGCGCTGGCTTCTAACCCGTTACCGGTCGCTCCCGTTCATGCACCACGGGGCGACTGCGCGTAACCGGCCAGTGAGCCCCTCCCTTTTCGCGAGCTCGTCCGATCAGTTCAATTAGCGCGTCGCGTCCACGCCGCGTGCTCCCTCGCTATAGCCTCCGCCTCTCACCCAACCCAGGGCGGAGAGGAGTTATCCCACATGGAGATCCTACGTCACATGCTGATCGACTCACTTCAGATGTTTGATGTGATTACCAAAAGGTTCGTCAACGACTGAGAAAAGGCTCATGATAGACACAGCGTCAGCTAGGGGATGCTATAACCGACAAGAAATCTCGCACGTAGGCCTTGTTTCGTCGGAACACTATATGGCAGACGGTCTTACAAAGGAAACCGCCCAATAATGCCCTTGAGAACGTGATGAATAGCAATCCGGTGAAGAAATGGATTCATCGTACACAACTAAGTTCTGCCATCGTAAAAGGGGCAGTGTGAAAAAATGTCTGATATGGAGGCGCATCCATTTCTCTAATTGCTGGATGCGTCAGAACTTGTCTTTCTTTATGATATTGTAAGGGTTAAGTAATATATAAGTAGGGCTCGCGCTGCGGACTGTAGGTTCGTACCGGGCGAGAGGTTTGTGTCAAACCGCAGAGCCTACCTGCGAAAACTGTCCGACTGCACGGACTTCGCACTGGCTCGGACGGTCGGTCGTAGACTTGTCCATTGACACTTTAATAAAATCTCTTTTTCTAATTCTTTAAAGGAATTCCTCACGAAATCCCACAAAGGCCATCTGCTTTCTATGATCTGTGAGAGTAAGACGCCTAGCCGTCGTCGACTCAAGGAGACGACGGCTGGACCTTTTAGTCAAGTCTGTCACATAGCATTACAGGGCCACTGTGTAAGCACAGTGGTCTCTATTCCTGATGGCAGGGCAGCCGGCTCAACAAGCGCGTGATATGTGGATTACCGCCATTGCAAATCGGCAACTTCCTGATGACACGCCTCGTGCAATGGTGGTGGGGAGCAAGCCATCAGCGCATGTTGAGTCGGTCGCGAAGGTTCGTAAACAGCTGTTTCCTCAGCGGTTTTGTCATGATGTCTGCCAGCATATGTCGCGTTGGTACGTGCAGAAGAGTGATGTGATTTTGTTTGATATGTTCTCTCAGATAGTGATGCTTGATGTCTATGAATTTGCGGCGTTTTGTAGAAGCGGTCTTCTGAGCGACCTTGATGGCAGAGAGGTTGTCCATATAGACGGGTACATGTCCCTGTGGCTGGCCAAAAAAGTGAAACAGCCTGCGAAACCATTGTGTATACTGTACGGCGGAAGATCCGGATATATATTCCGCCTCGCAAGTGGACAGGGCCTGGACTTTCTGCTTTTGAGAACCCCATGCTACTGGCGTGTTGTTGTAGAATTGAATTTCGCCGGATATCGACTTGCGGTTCTTCGTATGACCAGCGCAGTCCGCATCAGCGTACGTCTTGAAATGATGACGGTTTTCTTGTTTCACAGGACTGTACACGAGGCCTAGATTCCGAGTACTTTGGATGTAGCGTAGCAAGTTTTTTAAAATGTTCCAATGTCGTTGCGTCGGATCGTGGGCTGCGCAGCTGAGGCGATTGACCGCGAACGTGAGGTCCGGTCTTGTGCAGTGGGTGAGATACCGAAGCTCCCCCAACACTTCTTGGTACTTTCCTTTCTGTTTTGGGATGTGCTTGTCCTCCTCACAAGGCCCGTGATACTGCGCTCCATCCACGTGTGGCGAATTGCGGCTGTTACATTCTGTCATGCGCATCATAGATAGAGCCTTTGCCGCATAATTTGGCTGGGATATCTTGATGCCGCCGTCTGTCTGTTTTTCAATTGTCCATCCGAGGTATGAGGACGGGAATCCCAAGCGTTTGACGTTGCCAGGATATTTGACCGCGAGGGCGGTGGCTAGCCAATCTAAGAGGTGGCGTGAGGTGGCGGCGACGAGGAAGTCATCTATGGTGAGTGCTATGATGATGTATTCATTGGCGGTGTGTTGGAAGCGAAAGAGGCAAGGGTCGTCTTGAGACTGCGAGAAGCCAATTAGATCCAGCCACTCCACTGCACCGCGAAGGTAGTAGAATCCACCTGATGGGGTTCCGTATATATTCTTGATAAGGATCCCAGCTTTGGAGTAGAAAGTGTGTTCCTCACCGACATAATTAGCCAGGTTAAATTCGTCTGTGAGGAGGATTTCGAGATCTCTTTGACGGAGGACAAGCTTGAGTGCACATCTCCAAGCGTGGAATGTGTGTTGGTTGAGGCGCGGTATTGTTTCTGTGAATTTCCACGCAGGGGCAAGAAGTCCAATAAGGGCTTCCAGGGTGTTGCCGGATTGGGTCTGGCTTGGTTGTTGTCCGGGCTGGATGTTCGACATGGTTTGAATTGCAGACTGTAGCGTTTGAGTTTGTGTGACTTGTCGCCAAAGGTCTCCCCAGATATCTGTTGTGTCCCGATAGTGCCGGCGTTTCGTGCGAGGGCTCAAGTCCTTGAACTGGACAGGATGGTGAATTGTTGGTTCGTGTTCGTGAAAGAGGATCACGCCAAGGTTTGTGTGGGATTAGGGCACGGGGGAAAAAAGGGGGAAAAGAGGCGGAGCGAAGCTCGAACGCGATGATGATGGTGATGATGTGGAGCGAGGCTCAAACGCGATGATTATGCGGAGCTAAGCTCGGACGCGGGCGTGAGAAGCAATAAGGCTTGTTTGACTAGCAGTGGAATGGGTGAGGGTCCATAACCTATGATCTGTGAGAGTAAGACGCCTAGCCGTCGTCGACTCAAGGAGACGACGGCTGGACCTTTTAGTCAAGTCTGTCACATAGCATTACAGGGCCACTGTGTAAGCACAGCGGTCTCTATTCCTGATGACACTTTCTAATGGAAAACCCTACTGAATCGGACGATTTTAAATTTATTTATAGCCTGCCATCTCAGTTCTGTTCAACTTTAGTGGACCCGTACTTGTACTTCCACCGAGCGTATCCATATCGAGAGGGTTCACTGTAAAACGATGCCACATCGCAAATTCAGTCTCTTCGATTTATCCTTAAAATCAATAAGTCAGTCCCACTTCTTCGCAGAATTCGCTCACGTGTAAAAGCTCAAATATACTGTAAACAATTTTGCGATACAGTACAGTAATGGGTCAATGCAGGGCTGGACACGTGTACGATATTACAATGTGATGGCGCCGGCGGGATTGATCCCCCTTTCAGACGCGCACCGCTACTCGTTCCTCAAGTTCGCGCGCATCCCTTCGCGCGGTATAAAACTTGAGGAAAGCTACCATGGTCACACAACTTGATGCTGCAGAGCGCCGAAAGCGCAAATCAAGCAAGTCGAGAGATGGCCCCAAGCGGAAGCAGAAACGGAGGAGACCTACGGACGACGAACCTCAACAGGTGGACCAACGCCTTCTGGAACTTTTGACCGGCAAGAATGAAGAGGAGGATTTGAAAAAGATTGATTCGGAAAACTCCTCCGAGAGCGAGGAAGAGGAAAGCGGTTCATCGAGCGGTGAAGATGAGGCCTCAGATGCGGACGAAAAGCCAGCGGAAGAGAATGAGACGGCTGCAGGGGCCGCGGCAGCATCCGGAGCGACAAACGACACCTGGCCGCGGCGAATTTCCGACGCTCATGCGAAGAAGGTGAACGTCACGGTGTTGCTCGAGCGTGCCAACCTAGAAACGGTGAAGCAGAGCGGGCGGTCGGGCGGGATGGTGCTGCTGAACTGCGAGGATCACCGGCATGTGCTGAAGAAGTCGGGGCGCGACGCAAACGACGCGCGCCCGGACATCACGCACCAGTGCCTGCTGGCGCTGATGGACAGCCCGCTGAACAAGGCCGGGAGGCTCAAGGTGTACATCCGCACGGCGAAGAACGTGCTCATCGAGGTGCACCCGCAGACGAGGGTGCCGCGCACGATACGCCGCTTCTCGGGCTTGATGGCCGAACTGCTGGAGAAGTTTAAGGTGCGCGGCACCAGCGGGTCGACGCCGCTGCTCAAGGTTATTCGCAACCCGATCACGAGCCACTTGCCAGTCGGGACGAGGAAGGTTGTTTGCACGTATAACACGGATAATATTGTCGATATGAGGGAGCATGCGGCGAAAATGGCGGCGCTTGCGATTCCAGAGGGCTTAAACGTGGGGGAAGATGAGGAGGCGATCGAAGAGCAAGCGGAGGAGGTGAACGTGCTTTACGTGATCGGGGCGATGGCGCATGGCAAAGTTAGCGAGGATTGGGCCGATGATAATATATGTGTAAGTGAGTATCCGCTTTCCGCGGCGACGGTATGCTCCAGATTGACGTACACATATGAATGTCTCTTTGGGATTTTGTAATTGGCTAGAGCTGTTGAGCAAAAACGGCGGAGTATATAAAAAACACAGTCCATGACGGTGGGGATGGAAAAACGGGGGTTGATGCTACAGCATTCCAGATGCGGGCTTGCGTGGCTCAAACACGGTGATGGGATCACCCTCGGCAAATGCGGTAATCATTTCACCTGCGATTGCCATTCGCGGCGGTAAGGAGATGCCCTTGTCTCTGTTACCGCCCCGTGCAAACATCTCTTGGACGGCCGCCTTAGTGAACCAGCGGGCCTCTTGAACTTCATTGGCATCGATCTCAATGTGCTCAGTCAGGGCCTGAGCAATGCAACCCAGCATGAGCGAATATGGAAATGGCCATGGCTGCGAGCCGTAAAATCTGACGGGGCCAATCTTAACGCCTGATTCCTCCTCGACCTCCCTCCTAACCGAGTCCTCGACGCCCTCCCCATGTTCCATGAAGCCTGCTAGGCACGAGTACATCCCCTCCGGAAAGCGGTCCTGCCTCCCCAGCAAGATGCGATCCCCGAGGGGGTGTACGACGAGCATGATAGCGACGGGGTCCGTGCGCGGAAACCATACGCCCTTGCAATGGTCGTCGGTGCCGTCGTGCATCCCGCGCGCGGTAACTGCGGCGGGCTCTTCGTTGGTGAGGTTCCTGGAGCACTTGCGGCGCGAGCCGAAGTGATCGGGGAAGGTCGGGGCGCCGCACAAGCCGCAGAAGAGGTGGCGGAGGTGGAACTCGGAGAGGGCGCGCGCGTGGGCGGCGATGGCGGATTCGTGCGCCGGGAGGATGAGGGCCAGGTTGCGGAGGTTGCGGAATCGTGCGTTTGCGGCGCGGAGTAGCGGCGCGGAGTCGAAGTCGGCGGGGAGGGGGAGGGCGTAGTGTGGAGTGCCGTTGTGCAGGCCGAGGAGGGAGATGGGCGGGGTCTTGGGGTTGGGCGTCGGGAGGTAGGGTTGGAGCAGGGAGTGCGGGAAGAGGATGGTGGAAACGGTGGTGGCGGTGGCGGCGGTGTGAAGGATATCCAGGGTGGGCGAGAGAACTAGGTAGAGGGGT